ACAAGACAATGGGACTTTGTCGGCTTTCAAGATGCAATGATGGGTTGGCTAAAACCAGTATCAAACATACAGTCTATATAAACATACAGCCTATATAAACATACAGTTTATATAAACATACAGCCTATATAAAACAGCATGTTTTCGGGCTTTGATATCTCCATGTACGGCAAGCAAAATGAAAAGTAATCATAATGTTTTCTGTTTTTTTTTTACAGGAAGGTTCACCATGTAAAAGGCCCAGGAATCACTCTAGGTAGAGGATTATGTTAGGAGGCACTTTGTACGGATAGGAGGGGAGGATAACGGTTAACCCTAGACTTGAACAAATTAAGATTGTAGTGATCAGAGAAACATCCTCTTGGTAGTCGGTTCCACTTATTTCTCTCCAGTGGAATACGGAGGGGGGTGATGTAGGTGGTTTTCTTCTATGTAAGTGGCATGGCGTGATCCGGTGGAACCAAGTAATGTTGTTCGTCCGAGAAATTTTCCATGTAAGTAGCAATATAGCAGTGAGGGACTTGCCACTTCCCGCCTATGAGAGAGATGTCGGAGGGTTGAAAATCATTTGTCGCCCACAAGGACACGGTGACGCTTTTGATTGTTCTAAATGACTTATATTATAATTCTGCTCGTTCCTTAGTTAGTTATTCAGTTAGCACAACCGTCACGTCCTACCAAAACGTCATAAATAATAGATTGTATTGATCGGCGAAACATCCTCTTGGGAGCAGTTGTTCACGGGAAAAAAGATGTTCGAGTGGAACTTACTTCTCACCAATGGAAAACGGAGAAAAGATGGATGGTTTGCTAGAATCTAAGTGGCCTAGTGGATTCTTGTCCTGAAAGTTAGAACTGGCGTATCAAGGAATAAATAAAGTTTGAAAAGTTTTAAAGTTTACCTAATCTTACCTTTAAACATTGTCGTCATGGTCTAATACTGGCGTGAAAGTGCTGTGAGGCTTAACAGTATCTGCGGATTTTGTCCGTTAAATCCGGGGTCAGTTGGTTCCGGGACCGTTAATTTGAGGTTTTCCTTTAATTTGTTTATCGAATTTTATTTTTTTGTCGTATTGTTGAAATTAGGTGTGTAACTTAGAAATGTGTGCTTATTGCTTAGGAGAAGAATTTACGACATTTCTTTTCCCCGTCAAAAGAAATACTTCTACTTACTTACATACAGAAAATAACAAACCGCAAGGTTGAACTAGAACTAAATTAAAATATGTAACTGTCTTTGAAGTGATCAGCTTAACTTGCTAGAAAAGTTAGATGATGGATGAAATTGAAGTGGCAAGGAGAAATAATTTCAAAATTATCTACGCTTTTTTTTTTACCGCTGTTTAAACAATACAAGGCCCAAGAGCCATTCAAAGCAAAGGATTACTGTATACGGTTGTTGAAATTAAATAATTGTTGTCCCGAAACTGGAAAAAGTTAAGATTATAGTTTTCGAGAAAGTATCCCCTTGGGAGTGTCTTTTACAAAGTAGCAGTTCTCAGGAAGCAACTGTACAAATGGAGGTTTCTTCTTACCGATAGAATACGAATGGAATGAATATGATTCAACTTTGTATTCAACCTGGTAGAACTAAGGAATGTGGCTCCTCAAAACATTTGCGATGGAAATAGCAATAGAGTGGGGAGAGAATTGTGACTTTTCGTCTATGCAAAAGGAGTTGTAGTATGGAAAATAATTCATCATTTACAAAGCCACATCGGTGCTTTTGACTTCTGTCAAGGTGGGGAAATGCGATTGTGAAGCCCCAAACCTGATATGGCAATAATCGTTCTTTTTTGGTTAGATCTGAATGTTTTCTAATGATAGAGCGTGTCGGGTGAAATCAGGTACTTTCTAGAGCAGTACACGGAATCAAGCATTTTTCAACCTCTTTAGTGATGGATCGTACATATGTGTTTCACTTAGGGTCGAACGTGAACTTCACTCCCAATAGACGTCCATGGCAAAGTGTCTTATTAAGTGTAGAACATTTCATCATAAGAGAGAGTTCAGTGTCATCTCGCTGATCATGCATACTTTTGGACGCATTGAAACAAGTCATTTTCCCCATTGAGCTGTTGTAGTCAGAAGACAGATCAACTAACAGACTTTCATCATCTTGATTTTTGGAGGTACGTACATATACCGTGATTATCATTTGCATGGATATTCAAAAAAGATCGGAGTATGTTCTTAAGTAGATCATTAATATAAAGCAGAATGGGAGAAGTGGACCTTGTGGAGGACTGCACTGATCTAATAAATATACTATATTTATATATTTACTATATGTATGTCCAATTTCTCACCCATGTCTTCCGTAATATATGGAGATACTGTTTACTTTCAGAGGCGGATCCTGTAACATATCCACTTAATTTATTTTACTGACTTCCCTTTTGCTTTTTTTTATCATATTACTCACGATATCTTCTGAGATTCTATATTGTCTGGATTCCGATTAATCTTAGCAGTGGTGAGCTTATAACTAGTTCGAAATTGCAAATTACTCCCCCCACCCTATTTCAGTTCTGCATCGATAGAATTCATGAACGGCGTCTATAGTCTCTTTCTCGCTCTCTCTGAAAAATCTCACTCTCAGTCATATTTACACTCTCACTCACACCATATGAAAGAAAAAATACACATACGCTGCATATATATATATATATATATATATATATATATATATATATATATATATATGAGGCAATCTGATGCCTAGTCAAACTGATGAGCTGTGAAACAGCAAAACAGTCTGTGTCGAAGAAAATATATATACATATTCCTGAAAAATTATTTCAATTGAACTCTTCGGGGAGAAAAGGGAATTTGTAAACAGTGGCTATTACTGCTGCTAATGCAATACTCTTAGTTAAGACGAATCGAGTTCTCCATGTCACTAAGGTGTTTGTCTAAAAATAAATACGTCTAAATTCACCTTCATCGATGCCGTGCGCCAATAGCTTAGGGATAAAACCTCTGACTAATACTCAGTCAGTCGGGTTTCGATCCCGACCAATCGGATGTCTAGCCACAGTGATGAGCTGCGAAACAGTCTGTCTGTGGATGACTATATATATATATATATATATATATATATATATATATATATATATATATATATGGGGCGACCTATATGGTAGGTATAGGCCTAACTCTTTTGAGCTCGATTTATAAGCTACAATTTACGGCAGGGCCAGTGATATTACTGACACTGCTGTGAATCGCGATTAGGTCTGTGAGTTAGATCTATACCTACCGTATAAGTCGACCTTAAGAAAAACACTTCGCTCGGTGTTTACACTTACTGTTGGACGCGATGTGGGCTGTAACGCTAATAGAATATACACGCCATATAAGTCGACCCATTTTGTAACCTGCAAAGAATTCTGAAGTCAAACCTTTATTTAATCTACGGGGGTAGAATTTTCTCGTTATTTATTACTCGCAAATAAACACCAGCCGACCCAAGGATTGAACTTACAAACCCTATATCACTAAATTCACAGACCAGCGCTTTTATCCACTAAGGCATTCTCTCATACAATTTAAAAGTACAATTTACTGTAGTGAACTTGACAGATAGCAGCAGCTGTAAACTAATTAACAGACGCGTTATGTTCTAAGCTCCAAGTTCACTACTGAGATGATCAACAAACTTGTTGATTATAACTTCAAAAAAATTGCCAATGACACTGAGGAGTCTGATGGATCTCTAATGAGACGACATGAGAGTTCACCAACATTCTTGAAATCAGGGATACATTTCTACAGACTTGGAAAGCAGTTCCCTTTCATACAAACAGAAATAAGTAAAAGACACGAATGTTTCTTCTCACCAGACTTATTCAAACTTTACAGTGAAGCAATTCTGTGAGAATTAAAAGTCCTACCAGGATTCATTATTGACGCACACAGTCTTAACAACATTAGATATTCAGATGACACAGTGTTGATAGTAGACACAGAATGGAAAATACAGCATCTTCTACAGAAAATAGTTATGGAAAGTGAGAAGAAAGGACTATTGTCAGAAGGCAGAATGAATGGTTGTCATCAAAAGTAAGACCCCAAAACTTACGGTTTATAAATTGGAAATAGCAAAATCAACTAAGTAAAAAGATTTGTATATCTAATAAGAGCTTTAACAGAGGACACCGAAGACGTATTGGGACAGCGAAAGATGCCTTCCAAATGCTAAGCAAAATATTAAGAAACAGGAAAATCTCCTTAGAAACAAAGAAAAGTGTAATGAACTAGTAAATAATATCAGTCTTCCTATATGGCATTGGGTGCTGGACCATCTCATCACAGATGAAGAAGAGACAAGCCAATATACATGTGGTGCTACAGAAAGATGCTGAGAATACAATTGTCTGAACATATGAGTAGTGACAATGTCTTAGAGAAAATGGAAACAAAAAATGATAGTTATATTTATAATCAGAAAGAGTTTAAATTCTAGGGCACATAATGAGGAAAGAGGGCTTGGAAAATTTGTCACTCACAGGTTATAATGAAGACAAGAGGAACAAAATAAAACAGCGTACAACTCTTTGTCTAACGAGCTTTTGCGAATGGGTGAAAGAACAGCGATTAGAAGAGAAAGGCAAATTTTAATAAGAGCTACAAAGGGCAGAAAGTTGTGGAGAGCCATGTTCGGACACGTCCTAAAGAGACACTGTAAATAGAATATATATATATATATATATATATATATATATATATATATATATATATATATATATATATACTGCTTGTTAATTGTCATAAGTTAATGTTTTTCTTTTTAAATAATGTCAGGCAAACCTATTTTGTATCAGATCATTTTTCGAGGGTCAGCTCGAGAACAGGAGCGGTCACTACGCAACCAACTTTCAAGGACACCGTTTGTAAAAAGACCGCCAATTTGGCTCAAGGCAAATGTTTTAGATAGATATGAATTAAAGGTTTGCGTTGGTAAAATCGCGATAAGAACAATCCCGCCACGTGGATAGATGATGACGTCAGCGGAAGAGGATCTGGAATTGAGAGAATCAAAAAAATATTTGCATTTGGATTCTGTTTTCTCCAATACCTTTATTTCTTTTTCATTTCTTTCTTTCTTTTTTTCACTTTGCTTTCTCTCCTTTTCCTTTTTTCTTTTCTTTTGCTTTCTCTCCTTTTCTTTTTCTCCTTTTCTTTCTCTCTTTTTCTTTTTCTTTTCTCTCCCTTTCTTTTTCTCCTTTTCTTTCTTATCTTTTCTTTTGCTTTTTTCTCCTTTTTTCTCTTCTTTTCTTTCTCTTCTTTTTATTGCTGTCCCGCCTTTTCTTTTTCAGCTTTTCCTTCTCTTCATTTCTTTTGCTTTTCCTCCTTTTCCTTTTCAGTTTTTCTTTCTCTTCATTTCTTTTGCTTTTCCTTCTTTTCTTTTTCTCCTTTTGCTTTACCTTCTTTTCTTTTGCTTTCTCTACTTTTCTTTCTTTCCATGGATTGATTACTTTTCTTTCTTTCTTTCGTTCTTTCTTTCTTTCTTTCTTTCTTTCTTTCTTTGCCAGTTTGGCTTTTCTTCGTTTTCTCTCGGATTTCAATTTTAAACAGATAATTCCCCTTTCCTTTTTCTTTTTGGGAGGAGGGCGGGGAGAAGGTACTATTTTTCGCGGTAATTCATTATTTTCTTTTTTTCCTTGTTCTTCTTCTTCTTCTTGCTTTCTTCCACGTTTTTCCTTCTCTTCTTTCATTCATTTCTTTTAACTTATTCTTCCCTCTATTTACCTTACACTTCTTCCTCGTGTTTCCATTTTTATCTTCCTTCTTCCCCTTATTTCCTCTTCCTCCTCCTCCTTCTCCTCCTCCTTCTTCTTCCCATCTTTAACTTCCTCTACTTTCTTCTTCTTTCCATCTTTACCTTTTACTTTCTTCTTTCCATCTTTACCTTCCTCTTCTTCTTTTTGTTTCCAACTTTAACTTACTCTTCATTCTTCTTCTTCTTCTTCTTCTTCTTCTTCTTCTTCTTCTTCTTCTTCTTTACCTTCCTCTTCTTCTTCTTCTTTACCTTCCTCTTCTTCTTCTTCTTCTTTACCTTCCTCTTCTTCTTCTTCTTCTTTACCTTCCTCTTCTTCTTCTTTACCTTCCTCTTCTTTCTTCTTCTTCTTCTACTACGACTACTTCATCAGCCACTCCTTTTTCAAGTACTTTTGAGGAGCTGGTTTCCTTAAGAGGTTTGCCTTTGAGGTCACAACTTAAATGAGTAACCTCGGAGGCTTGGTGCCTCTAATTATTTCTAAACTCCCGCTCGCCCCTCGCTTGAACTTTATTCTCATACGTCGTCTTTTCTATTCCGAAGAGAAACCAAATCTCGATGTTACAATCTTCCGCTGTCCCCTTCCCAGAGAATCACGACCCCACCCCTGTTGCAACTCCGAGAATCTTTAACAGAATTTTTTATTTTTTTTATTATTTTGTTTTCGTCTTGATTACCTTCATTTTTGTTTCAGAAACTTTCAAGCTTAAGGCCGGAGAACAAGTCGGGAAAAACCTTGTAAAAAATAAAAAACAAAAAAAAAATATAAAAAAAAAACAAAACAAACAAACAAAAAATAACAAATAACAATTAGATAATAACAAAATCATCGTAAAGTCATCCAAGTAAATGTTTACTCTTATCTAGGTATCTCCACTAATTCGTTGAAATAAGAACATACTATTATGAAAAAATATCCCAAAACTTGATAATAATAAAGTTTTTAAAATGTTTATTTAGAGGAAGGACAGAATTATTTTTTGATTATTTTATTAACTTTTTAAAATCTTTTTGAAAATTTGGTTAATAGTTTTGTTTTCTTGTGACAGTGGAGGCAGCAAAAAAAATCAATGAGGAAATTTAGCGCCCTTTTCCCGGTAAAAAGCACATTGATTTGACATCCTTGCAAAAAAAATAAATGGCGGATTTTAATGAAACTTTCATAACTTATTCTCAAATGAATGAAATTTCTTTAGAAATCTTTTTTTTTAGAAAATCTTGATAAAACATTTTCTTTTTGTACATCTGTTACATCCATCTACACCGAAACTTTTAATGCAATTTCGAGAAATTAAATTGTTCCCTGCTTCATATTTATATTATTTTAAAGTAGGACTCCTTACAGAATTCAAGACATCATTTTTTTCAAACGGTCGTAATATAAAAATGCTGTCAAACTAAGATATTATTTAATTAGAAAAGCTTTTAATTGTTTTTATGAATAAGATTTATTAAGAAAAAAAATTCAAATAATTTTTGAAAATGTTGATATTTGATTTATTCTTATGGAATAATTTATTAAATTTTTTAAAATTTATGTATTTGTGCATGTCAAGTGATACTTTTTATTAAGTAAAACATATATTTGCTAATCATAAATTGAAAAGCTTAATACAAATCATCAGTCATCACACACACATATTATATATGTATACATACATACATACATAATTACATACATATATATATATATATATATATATATATATATATATATATATATATATATATATATATATATATATATAAAAGTGAACATTGAAATCAACACTCATGCTGGACGAAATCGTCAGGCCTGACAATTGCGTCCAGCATGAAACAGCCTGTCGCCTCTGAATGTTGACTTCAATGTTCACTTTTATACTTATATTTTACATACGCTCTATCTCTGATATTGAGCACTTTATCAAATAAATATAGCACACCTTAAAACTATGTTTCTTATATATATATATATATATATATATATATATATATATATATATATATATATATATATATATATATATATAAAAAAAAAAGACATTTTATCAAAAAAAAAACATTTTATTGTTTACTCATATATATATATATATATATATATATATATATATATATATATATATATATCAATAAAACGATATTGTTTACTCATATATATATATATATATATATATATATATATATATATATATATATATATATATATATATATATATGAGTAAACAATATCGTTTTATTGATAAAATGTTTTTTTTCTACTGAACTTTCTTTAAAATAAACATCCGGAATATTTTAATGGTTAAGATGTTCAGTTGATACAAGGCGTGATCGTATTCCAATCACCACCCAGGATGCGCAACTGAACCCGATTTAGTAATGCTGAGCCAAATTTACATGTCAATCAATAAATGCTAGGAGATAATACGAAATAAAGCTGGATAATATTAGTGAAAGATCTATTTAGCTTTTTATACAGTGGATTTTTTTTTAATTTTTCCTCATTTTTATATTTCTATTAATACGAAGTCTTCTATTATTTACTTCAGGGATCGGCAACCTTTTGCTAACTATGTATCGACTTAGGGTTTTAAAATAATTCCGTGTGCCAACCGCATACGTATTTTTTATAAAAGTGAAGGTCAATATACCCGTTCTGCACTATATTTTATATAGTAATATACAGTAGATATACTTTAGTTAGTATATATTAAAATTGAAACAGTTAAATATCTTCTTTGTGTTGTAGTAGTTATTTGTTTGGATTTCGAGATGTCATTTGCGGCTGCGTACCATTGAATATTGCTTGGCGTGTCACGTATGGCACACTTGACGTAGATTGCCGATTTCTGATTTACTTGATTTTATCAAAAAATGTCTTTTTTATGAGGTTATGCGGCACCGATTCCGTAAAGTCTACAGTTCTTTATTTGCCACGAAATTTGGAATTCGTAATTTAATATTTAGTTGACAAAAACTGTCAAGAATGAGAGCATAGTGGTCAAACACATGAAGTACGTCGATATTCGTTTTGTCCTGTTTTTTATGAGCATTGCTGTCAAAATACATAACGTGGTTGACTGACATGGAGTCAAAATTACAGAAATGTATTATTGGCGCCTTGCCATTTTGTGGTAATAGTTAGCAAAGCAGTTAAAAAAAAATGGCTGCGATATGGAGTTAGATCCTCACTGTATGCACTGACATTTTCAAGCCAATTCCACACTAGCTTTTTTTCTTGCTTCTCGTATATCATCTGCAATTGTTCGTTCATATGCTTCAGTTTAAGTCTAAAATCTGCGATAACGAGGCATCTGAGGAGTTTAGTAGTTAAGCTTGATCGTTAAGTATCAGATGGAAACCGATGAGGCTATAAAATTTTTAGAGACGAATAAATAATCTTTGAAAAATGGCGATTGGGGTGAAATTATGGATAACAACCTAGTCGCTTTTCTCACAGACAAAATTTGCTACTTTATCGCTATTTCCATATATGGAAATCTTCTGAAGAGATACAATTCTTAGTTCAATCTAAGAAATGTGACGTCACGTAGATTGGGGAAAATCGCCTTATTCCATTCGTATTCCATTAAGAAGAAAATTCCTTTTGAAAAACGTATTTCGAAGAACCGCTACTTTGCTGCTCCCGAGTGGATGCTTCCCGGATCGCTACAATCTGAACATCTTCAGGTCTAGTGTCAATCGCTATATTTTCTACCTATTCCCATAAACTGAACTTTGTAACTTCTCTTGGGTTCATACAAAAACCTCATTGATTACCTCTTCTGCTTTGTATTAGGCGATTAATTACCGTATAGGACGGCATATAAGATGCATCCCAATTTCAGCAGGGCAAATCAAGAAAAATTAGTAATTAGTAAAATAAGTAAAATTATTAGTAAATGGTACAGCCTAAGCTATATTTATGAGGTATTATTTTGGTTAAACAAGCCGTGATTACAATTAAACGAAAAATAACAGGAAAAAAAAACATGAGTCTAAAAACTTTACTATATCCTTTATATGATCTGTACAACCTGCGTCTTGCAAACGTCTTATTGGAATAATTAGGATATAAAAATTCTATTTGTATTTATACCAATGCAACCGGAAGTTATCGCAAGAAAAATATTAATGAAACAAATATATTTTACAAATATATAATTTGAATTTATTGCATATAATTTTAGTGAAACAAAGTACTAATATTAAACGTGTTGAAATTAATATAATGAATATTATCAATGATAACAATTTTAATCTGCATAATAGCCTTTTAAATAATGATAATAGGTATATAAAAATTACTCTAAAGTCTAAGCCAATAGGAGTTGCCAGCTAGATAATTTAGGACTACTATTGCGAATTTGAAAATTACATATGGCATATAAGACGAAGGGGAATTTTAAAAGATATTTTAGTAAAAAATAGTGCGCCTTATATGCCGTCAAATGCGGCAGTAAAATACAGTATCGTTTATAAGAACAAATATTGTGAAATCGATACTATTGTATCCCTGTGACAGATTAAGACAACTTAAATATCAATGTTAACCCCCTTTCATAAAGAGAGAGTAAAAAAGTTTGTTTCGCTAAGTAGTACTGGTGTGAGTTCGATCCTCACTAGATCGCCCCCTATTGCTACATTGACAGACCATTTTAAAATCACACATTTATTGGGACAAATTTTCCGATTTAAATATTAAAAAATCCTTAACCTCTACATCGTATAAGAAGCTACTAGAAAGAGTAAATTATATTAAAATTATGAATTAAATTGAAATTAAATTTTGTATTTTTGCAATCGGCCTCGAAG